ATTTTTTTTTTTGTGTTTAATCATTCTGCCAAAGTGATTTTAATGTAGACAATAGTGATGAAACATCAGAGTCTGTGACCTTCCCAGACAGCTCCAGCCCAGTGTTTTCTTAGGGATGCGCTGCAGAATGCACAGTGAAGCAGCTGCATCTCCTGGGGGTTCCTGGCCACCTCCTTGGATTTATCAGCACAAACCTGTGTTTCAAAACAACCCACATGGTTAGTGTTCTGGTTTGCATTTCCAGTTTTCATATTTTTGTTTTCCTCAGTGTATTGAAGGTTTTCTCAGCATTCACAGGCCATACACCACATTGCTCACATAGACAGAACAAATGCTGTGGCTGTGGCACAGTGACAACAGACAAATAATGCTGGGAATGTCATTGGGTGAATTTCTGGTGGGTTTTGGAGATCTTAGATCTGCAGGTAATGCTTTAGATTCACATTAAGATGGAGAACCATTAACAGAAAAGAACAGAGATGAGTTTATAATTGCACACAGTGATGTTATGGAACAAAGTCCTGGTAAAACTGAGAGCTTTACCTTCATTTCGGTGACTTCAGAGTGTGTGTGCTGGGGTGTATTTTCAGTTGGAAACATGGCTTCAGCTTTTTTGAAAGAAGGTTTTTTCCTTGTAGAAGATGGAGTGTTAGCCCAGAGCAGGCTGTCTCTAGAGGGGGAGGGCACCTTCTGGGGGACAGGAAATTACTGAGGTGGGTCAGACGTACCGTTGACTTGTCTGGCATTCGCTGTGCACCTTATAAAGCATCACATGCTGCTCTTCAAAGTGTGCTCTGCCAATGGAAAATGGCAAGTGTCTGTTTTTAGACCTCTGGAAAACAAGCAGCACATTTTTTCACCCAGCAACGAAGTCTCAGCTTTAATGTCCTATACATGCCTGGCTGTAGGCTCAGCTACCTTGTAAAGGTTTACAAATCTAATTGGTTCAGAAAGACAGTGATGAGAATAAATGGTGGTGAGGGATTCAGAGTAAATCATCTTGTTTGAGATAGAGAAATTCTCAAAAGGGAAATTATTTAATGTCTCATTTTGCTCTTGGATTATGTATGTACATTTTAGCATTTAAAAGTCTGTAGGAAATGCCCCTTATGTCCCCCAGCCCTCCCTGCCTTTCACACGCAGTGGCATTGAGTTTACTTCAGTTTACCAGAGGCTGTACAGCTTTCAAATTGTCATGGATAATTTCTCAACTAATACACTTTGAATTTCGGTGCCATGTTTCCTTGGGAATGCTCAGGGAAGACAGATGGCTTTTGTTTAAATGAATGAGATGAGTCCTTTGATGGCAAATAGAAGCCCCTTCATTGTCGGGAGGCACCGCGCCGTGGGGACGGTTTGCAGCATCCCAGTGAGATGGCCTTGGAGAGTTTAATGAAGAGTAAGGAACAAAAGCATCCTAGAACATATGGACAGGGAGAAAACACTTTGGCAAAGCAGCTCTGTTCAGTACTTCACTCTGCATATTTTGTCCTTGTTTGTTTTAGTAACCTATTCATAGTTTAGCCATTCAGCAGATTGACACAATGGATGTTTGGAGGGGAGTTCCCTCAAAAGATGGTGAAAGTTGGTGGAAGAGTTGCTTTTTTTGTGTGTGTGGAAGCAATTTGTAAGGTCAAAATTGGGAATCGGTCATCAGGGATCTATTAAAAGGATGGTTTTCAGGCAGACCTGATTTCTAGATGCCCAACGTGTCCTACCCTGCTCCATCCCAGTTGTGTCAGAGCTCAGGTTTAAGATACCTGAAGATTGCTTGTGAATTCTGTAAAAGAAAATTAAATCAGGAGAAACCCTGATATGCTTCAGGCTGTGTCTCTCATATGTTCTGTTTGTGTAAAGACATCCATGGAGCACTTGCAAAATTTGAAAAAGCAGTTGGCATGTACCTTTGAGTGTATAGACATGTGAGCAATATATTCCTCTAGGTAGCTGGAAGCTCTGCAGGTAGTGTGGTCTAAATTGCCTGTACTGTTTTGTTGGGGTTTTCTGGATTTTTTGGGGGGATGGGGGAGAGGGTGTTGTTGGGTTTTTTCACCCCATTAAATGGATACCGATGCACCTTTGTGCGATATTTTTCAGTAAACATAAAGCTCCAAGCCCTGTCCAACCTGGCCTTGAACACTCCCAGGGATGGAGCACCCACAGCTTCTCCGGGCAAGCTGTGCCAGTGCCTCCTCAGCACCCTCACAGGGAAGAATGTCTTCCTTATATCTAATCTCAGCCTGCATTCCTTCAGCTTAATGCCATTAAGCCTTCATTAGGTCTTTATTACCCTTTCTTCCTGTGGAGTGTCACACCAAGATGGAAATCAGGGTTTTCCTGTTGCAAACTGGAGTGTTCTGAAATGTAGAGATTTATCCTGTTTTCCGTTGTGAGTTACCCAAGGATTTCTTCCAACTCCTCATCAGGGAACACAATAGGCTTCTGTAGCTTAAGGGTGAATTAGGGTAGAGAGGAGTCCTGCTAAAAGTGTTTTTTGGCGGTACTCTGTTTTGTTTCATTTCTAATTCATGTGTTGGAGCTCTCCTAAGATCCCCCTTGGCACACTGGAGCCAGCCTGGGCACTTCTGTGCCTTTTGACACATTTTTCTAATACACAAAATTTGAACCCTCATCTCCTAAGTAAGATTTAGGTTTGCTTAAGCAAATAATTCTTTTTAGTGGGTCACAGCCAGCCAGCCACATGTACAGATTATTCTGGTTTATTCCCACAAGAATGGGGTTTTTTGGATCTCTGCAGCTTTCTGCTGAGGCAAAACTGGGGGACTGAGTCTTTGTGTGACGATTATGTCCTGTTATTATTGCTGTTTTTTTTCAAAATTTATGAATTACATATTTTACTCTGTAGTTTTAAGACAAAAAGGGGAGCAGTTGACCTGAAATTAATGAATTCATTAAAGTTTAAAGTAGAATCTGGGGCTTGAATGGCAGCAGAATGTTCATAAAAAGATAGAAGTATAATCTGGTTCTGGAATATTCAGAAATTCTCAGAGTGGTGCCAGCCTTCACTGAAGTTCACCCATAAAATTTATTCAAGACATGTCAGTGAATTAACTTGCAGACACTCTGAAATATTTACTTTCTTTCTTTTTTTTTTAATTCAAGGCAGCACCAGGTGAGCCAGAAGTCCACTCTGCAAGTCTCCTTATCTGCCACTGCATGAGCCATTATTCACTGTCATTTCAGGGTGAAACTTTAACAGGATTTGAATGGAGTTAAATGGCCAATTCCCATTCAGTTATGTGCTTAATCACATTCTAGGTTTTTTAGATACAGGAAATTGTTTTTTCTTTTTGTTCTGCTTATTGACTTCATAGGAAATATTTGGGTCCTTAAGTGATAGGGCCTAACTGCATAATTTGTTCTCAAATTAATTGTCATATTTTCATCCACATACATTTTGGTTTAGTAGGTTAATGTGGTTTTTTTAAAAGGGAATCAGTTCTGTGATTTAAGCTGGGCATCACAAATAAAAAGGATAACTTCTTGCGTTGCCACTTGTCATCTGTAGCTGAGTACAGACATAGATGGCACTCACAGGAAACCTTCTGTGGAGCTGGATGGAAGGGATCACTGGCCTCAGGTGCTGGGAGGCTGGTAACTGCTCTGATGTCCTTTGGCAAGAGAGCACTGGGATGGCCTCACTGCAAGTGACGGCTCTTCCTAAGGGAACATCCCTTCCTCCCTGTCCACAGCCTGGAATCAGAAGAAATTAGCACTCTGGGCTTTGAAAACACACAGCCCCACACCTGTGCTGAATGCCCAGATGCTCCCCACTGGTCTGGTTTTGGTATATAATTCCCTGTCAGTGCACAGATGTTCATGCTCACTATTTTTAGTATATTTTGGTTATGTGTACAGAACAATGACATAATATCTGAACTGTTACTTAGCCTGAGAGTTTGCATGCCTCCTCTCCTACAGTCTCTCCTTGTGCTGGTAAGATAGATGTTATTTTCATATTCATAACAATTTTACCCAGGCTCTATAGCCTGAGGAGGATCATGCTGAGTTAAGGTCTTGATCCTGAAATACTAGAGAATAGGAGAATTTACCTATGACTGTCCTAGGAGTGTGTCTGTGTGTGTTCCTCTTAAATCCTGTCCATGTGCTTAACACAGTCCCGGATAACGCTAAAGAAATGCAAATTATCCCTGTTGCACCTATGCTGAGCCAATCTCCTGGTGTGGGGAAGCAGATTCTGCTTCTCCAGGTTATCTTCTGCAATGAGCAGTTGGGTTTTCTCCTTGAAAGGCCATGCTCATAGCTTGCTGTTCCAAATCTAGAATTATTTCCAGCAAACATGTGAATATTTGACAGAGATTTAACTTGATTTATAGGTTACACCTGCTCTGCCACACATTTCCAGTGGAACTCTAACAATATCCTGTGAAGTTAAAGAGCAATGCAGAACTCTTGGGTATATTCTGCTTCTCTGCTTGGTTTTGGAGTTGTTTTGGAGGCGAGTGGGGGTGTTGGGATGTTTAGGTCATAGAAAAGCAAAGCATTTGTGGGAAACAGAAATATGGACTATTCCAATGTGTTTTTTACTCATTCTTGACACTGGCGATCTGAAGAAAAACATGGTTGTTTGTCTTTATTCATTTACTGTTTTGAGAGGTAAAGCAAAAATATAAAAGGAATAATTTCAGAAAACAGTTATTTTGAAAATTTAAAATTGGCTGTTTCTCGAATATTCACTGCAGAGTTAGGCAGAATTTGCAAAGGTTGGTAAAGAAAAAGGGATACTTGCCCTGTCTATGGATGAGGTTGTGCAAACCAGTGTGCTAATTTTGAAGTGCATTGGTTCTTGGAAATACAGTGGCCCTAAATCTTCAACTTAATTTTGCATGAAGACTAACAACTTAAAAGCATTAGTTACTCCAAGGGTTTAATTGACCGTAAAATGTAGGAGAAATAACCTTAATGAAGAGATAATGTAATTCTTTTTCGAACTAAATTGTTTTTCTCTATCCTTTTAGGGTATAAAGCCAGCAAGCTTTGAAAAAGTTACTGATCCTGAAATTAAGGAGATAATTGGGGAGTGCATCTGCAAAAATAAAGAAGAAAGGTTTGTTTCAGCTATCAAGTTTTGTATTAAATTACGTGTCTGCAGGGATTTCAAAGCTGTCTGTAGATCTTCGTTCTAGTCTCTGGGTCTCCCCCATGCAGGAGAAAACAGAATGGAAATGCAAATATAAATTCCTGACATACAATGTCAGGATAAATGCTCTTGTGTCTCACACCCTCTCAGCTCCAAAGGATAAGGTCAGGAAGCATCACCGTGGACCTGAGCTAGGATGTCCTAGCAATTTCAGCTGTCCATAAAACCTCACTTTTGAGGTTCTACGTGGAGCAGAGTGGGGTAAAGGTTGATGCAGTGGAGTCACCACAAGCTGTTGTAGCAGATCCCTTTGGCCTCATTGGCCTCTGGATATGGAGACACATTGTGCCTTGTTTCCAGCTCTGCTTTAAAACCTAATGTTCTCTGATTGGTCTCTGTCAGTTTGTCTAGTGCTCAGAATTTTAAGACTTTCACAAATACAGTTTTTAGGGGCCTCAGCTGACTATCTAGAGGGAGCCTCTTCTTTAGTACTCTTTAAGCTCAGATACTCAAGAAAAGTTATAAAAACAAGCTATAATCTGCATTTCTGTATGTGCTTGTGGTGCATAAATGTTGCTGAAGCTTTGTGAAATGGAAAATGTCACTTTTTCAATTTCATTTCCTTCTCATCACTGGAAATCCCATGTCATTTTACAAAGAACACAAATTCATTATGGATGAACACCAAACATACTGTAAATGTTTTCATCTTTAACAGCAGTTTCTTGTCACAAACCTCTCTGAAATTGCTTGACTTGCAGTATTTGAATCTTCTTTATATCCTTTGCAGATATGAAATTAAAGATTTATTAAGCCATGCCTTTTTTGCTGAAGATACTGGGGTAAGAGTGGAACTTGCAGAAGAAGACCATGGTAGGAAATCCTCTATTGCCTTAAGACTCTGGGTAGAAGATCCTAAGAAACTGAAAGGAAAACCCAAAGATAATGGAGCCATTGAGTTTACTTTTGATCTGGAGAAGGAAACTCCTGATGATGTTGCACAAGAAATGGTAAAATAAACTTCTTCTGACAAAAACATATATATATATATATATATATATATATGATGTAGTGCATAAATGTGAAAGGACAGCAGAAACAAGTGGGGCAAAGTCACTTCCACTTGACCCATTCCAGATGTCCAGTTTAGGCACTTTGCATTGATTTTGGAATGAATACAAGAAAGGGGTAAACAGGGAAGAACTAATAACTGAAAAATATTATTTGCCATATTTGAAAACAGATGCCTGAAATGGCATTTCAAATAGCTTAGGGACCATGGAGGTCTGGTCTAATTTTATATTTTGCAAAGTCTTTTGCCAGTTTCTGTAGGCTGTTGAATATCTTTGAATTTGGAATCTGTTTAGTTCCAGACAGCAGCTTGAATTATAAGAGTTCAGAAGTTCAATCACAAAATATTCTGCACCAAATTCTTCAAAATGCTTTTTCCCCATCTGTTCTGTTGGTGTTTCTGAGGAGGAATGTAGATGAGGATGGTCTGTGGTCAGCATTGATAGGAAACTAGATTCACAGAGTTAGGAATAAACTTTGGATTTTTTAACAGATAAGTTTAACTTGATGAATTTCTGTATCTTCATAACTTATGGGGTTTTGTTAGGCAATCTGTGTTCCAGTTTCACCACATTGTCCTTGAACTGATATTTTTATTTTACTGCAGTTGTTTAGGTGTTCTAACATCACCAAGGCACAGAGTCAGTAAGCACTTAGCGAAGGGTCTGAACTTTCCTGTGCTTGCAGAAATGTTCCTATTATAATCTAAATCCCAAGGGATCCCATTTAATGATATTGTCATCACCACTCCTGTTCTGCTCAGGAGGCACTCGTTTTGGTAATGCTGCCCTGCTCTGCTGGGACTCATCACCATCTACTCCAAATTTAGTGGGAGGAATTCAGGCTGCTCTGTCTTCTTGCCATTGGTTTGCTGTAGGTCCAATATTTTCCCGGCAGTGTATCGTTACAGAACTCATTTAGTTTAAATGGGTACAGTTCCTTGCTGTTGTATTTTGCAGTTCAATACTGGTGGATTTTGAAGTTCTGTGGGTAGCTCAGGCCATAGCTGTGATGTTTTGTTTTGAAGAGCAAATAATTCTCGTTAAAAGTATGTTTAAAAGGATCATACCCAGACTACAGTGATACTATACCCTTTCCCAAACAATTTTAAAACTTGTGTCCCACATTAATAGTTACCTAAGTGACAGCCCATGAAATGCTTTCAAACTTGAGGCTGTTGGGGTGAGGGGTACATGTATTCCTAAATATCTTTTTCTAGTCCTTATGAATTGTGGAACACCAAAGCCATGTGGTTCCATCAGTTTGTTGCTTTATGTGCTGTGGAAGAGAAGAATGCAGGAGACCTTCTGAGTACAAGGAATTATTTCTTATTACTGATGGGTTTGTGGTAGTCAGGCAATGCCACCTGTCCAAAGGATGTGGGCTAAAGGAACCTGAAAAGTTCTGGTTGGTTTGGAACTTGAAGTTACCTCTCCCAATGAGTGGGTACTGTAAAGCAGCATGTCTTCATTAAAATCCAGATGTGTTTTAAGCTGCTTTGCACCCATTAATTTTAAACAGCAAAAATCTAAGCTGTTTGGGCAAGAGCAAAGTAGGAAAGCCTCTAGATTTCTCCATGTATATAAGTGCTTCCAAATCTGTCATGTTAAGAAAGTAGGCAGAGCAGACAAAGCTCTGGGAGGTCATTATTAAATGAAAATTCATACCCTGTGCTGGAGGAGATTATGCAAACAAATAGCACAGAGATGAATTTCCATTTTATCTGTGGAGCAGTTGAGTTCTGAGAAGCCTGGGCCCCTTCTCCATCACATGGGAACTGCCTGTATCGGGCTCACTGATAGGCTTTTTCTTTAGAAAAGTCAATCAATACTGACTGACTTCACCATTTAAGAGAAGTTAATTTGAGACATAATTCAGTTAACATCTTGTCCTTCATGACTTGCTGTGCTATCAAGCACAGCAATTTGAGAAACTGTGTGTGCTGGAAAGGTTAAGGCAATAAATTTAGATTTAGGGGTAGTTTGATTCACTCCAGCTGCATCATTCAAAGAATTATGTTTTTTTCTAGTTTTGACTCTTCTGTTAGTGTTGAAAAAAAGAGGGGAACCCATCTGCCGTTAAATTTGCTCTCCTCAATGTGTGTTAAGTGGTGAATAAATTGAGCCAATATATATTGACATCTTAGAAATTGCACACTGAGGTTTTAATATACTAGGAATAGAAGTTTTATTTTCAAAAGTCCCCTTCAGGCTCTTGAGTTCCTGTTCTTGTAAAAAAAAAAGTATGTCTTTGTATAAATTCATGTTGTTTCAAGCTGACTTTTCCTGTGTTAGCCAGAGATTTGAGTAATGCATGTGTGCACATATGTGCACACATCCATGCACATGGGACCTTGCTAAGTCTGTGCCTCCTCTGTAGATTGACTCTGGATTTTTTCATGAAAACGATCTCAAGATAGTTGCAAAGTCCATACGTGACAGAGTGGCACTAATCCTCTGGCGAAGAGAGCGGATTTGGCCGAGGATGCAGTCGGAGGAGCGTCGGGACTCAGAGTGCCTGGAGAAGCTAAAGGCACCACAGGCACAGCAGGTCCAGGTCACCTACCTTTCTCACACGGGGCACCACATCCTGTCAGAGTCAGAGGAGCCAGAGGCAGACCAGCACCCCTTCCAGCAGAACCTGCCCACCAGCGTCACCTCAGTCGCGTGTAAGTCTCGGGCTGGTGTTGGGGGCACACAGTGATGAACGTCCGAGGGTAAAACCCAGGATGATCTGAGCTGAGTGGTGAGATGAACTGATGTGTGTGGGTTTGCACAGTAGCTCAAAGAACACCAGAGTCCTGGACAGATGCATCACAATTTTGAAAGAAGTTAAGTTTCAAAAAAAAGATGTTATATAGATAACTCTATATATATCTCCTGTGGTAGCAATAAATGCCAAAACCATAACATATTTGTAAATGGGAGAGTAAGGAGACCTGCTGCTCGACACAAAACTACCTGTTTTCTGTGCCAGGTGGTGGGATCAACAATTTTAAGCTTGTGCAAAGCATGATTTCAGAGCCTGCAGAAGTTGAATTGGCACCAAGCTGGTTGATGATCTTTGTGGGTCTCTTCCAAGTCAGGATATTCTATGAATCTGATTCAAACTGGTCAGAGTGACTGGTGACTCTTTCAAATGATGTTGGCCATGTGATGTTTATTGCAAACTGAAACTGAAATGCTGCAGGCCCTTGTGTTTTGGAATGACTCTTGATGGCTCGAGTGCAGTTTTTTATGATGCGGTGCAAAGGTCTACGGCAGGAAAGAGCATTCACTCTGGATGTTGCGTGATGTAATTTAAGATCTCCCTGTTTTGTGGGAAACACCAGCTGTAGTTTGGGAGCACTAGACCTGTGGGCCAACAGTGTAATTACTCTTGGGTCCTCTAAATAAGCAGCTCCCTGGCTTGGCTTGCAGAGCCTTTTTTTTCTTAGTTTGATTTCTGATCATCACACTTACCTCCAATGAATGGGAGAGTACTATTATTTCCCTAGAGTAACTTGACCCTGTCTCTGGCCACTAAAATCAACCTTTATTAATGACTCAAGCTCTGGTTCTGAAATCTCAATCTGTTTGTACTTTTAAATGTCTTGAAGGAAACATTGTTAGATATTTTTGCCCCATCCCTTGAAGTGTTCAAGGCCAGCTTGGATGAGGCTTGGAGCAACCTGGGCTAGTAGAAGGTGTCCCTGCCCTTGGCAGAGTGTGGAACTAAATGGACTTAAGGTCCTTCCAGCCCAAATCGTTCTGTGATTCTGTGATTTTTAGCTTGGAAGATTTGAGATTTTATGAGAGGTCTTTAATTTTTTTCCTAGCTAGTTTTTCTGATGAAATCTGATGTGCATATTTTGCTACTAAGCAATTATCATAACATTTCTGTTTTACTGTTCTGGGCTTGTATGGAAGTACATTTAAATGAAAGATGCATTATCTTTAGCAAAGACACAGCTGCTGCTTTCATTGAGGTATGTATAAAGTGCAACACAGAGGTCTGCTTTGAATACTGAAATATCCACACATGCCTCTACAGGAAAAAAACCTTTACAAGATATAAGAAATGGCCACATTTGCATAACACTCACAATATTGCCTTATTCACAAAGCTTTTTTTCCTGAAGCTAAATTGATCTCATTTCATATTTTTGGATTATATACTTTTTTCATACTAATTCCTTTGAGGAATACTGCAATTATGTCTCTCTTTGTTTCCAGTGGTGCAATGAGGTGACTTGTGCTTCCCATGGTTCTGCTGGACATGAGTTGGCAGAATTTTATACTAAATATAACCCCCCTTTTATTTCCTACTCCTCCTCAACTTTTAACCAACACTTGGTATTATTTGACAATTTGCTATCAGATTATTTGAACATTTTCTTAGCATAAGACCTCTGTAAATTGCTGTTTCACCCTCTCATATAATCTGAGGTCAAATGTAAAAATGGATAATTAATAACTTATTGTATGCAATGCATGTTGTTCTGTGAAAACCTGAGACTGACTCACAGCTTTTACTTTAGCACTGCCATCATACTCTTTTTTCCCCCTCCTTTGAGGTCCTGAATAATTGCTTGCAATAAAATGAAAGTGTATATGTGGCAGAAATCCTGCCGTGAGAGTAGGGCTGTGTTGGCTCTTTAGAAATGAGCTGAATAAATACAGAGGGGAGTTTAATTTTGGAAAAAAAAAAAACAGTTGGGAGAATAGTTTGGGAGTACTGAAATGTCATCTCTGATGCTATTAAAAAGTAATTTGTTATTTAAAAGCCAAATAAGTAAAACCTAATTTGGGATATGGAAAAAAGAGACGATGGAAAGTGTTGGAAAAAGAAATAGTGTTTAAGCTTAGCTGTAGCTTAAGCCATTTTTTTAACTGCGTTGCAGTTCGCTTTCATTTTTTAATTTTAAACCTCTGTTAGAAGCAGTTTGTCCTTTAGACACATCCAGCTGCAGTCTGTTCATCTCATTTCCTTCCTCAAATGAAGAAAGCAGTAGCTTATGCTCAAGAAGAGCTAGGCACCTGTATTTTACAGGCTTGAAAAGTTGTTAAAAGACATTTTAAAATGAATAAGACCTATATTTCTATTGGACAGAGGACCTGGTACTTACCCAGTGCCCACAGCTGTGCAATTCCACGGGTTAGCTGGGCAGATGTTCCAGGAGAAACTCCAGCTGAGCTCTGAATGTGCTCCTAAGCCTGCACATGTCTTGTGTCTGCCCTCAGCCTGAGGTATTGCTCTACACTCAAGCAGGGCATGACTTGCTAGACTAATAAGTCATACAGCATAAAGAATTTTGTAATTTTCAGTGCTGCTGGTAAAAAAGGTTGTTAAAGTCAGTACACCCCTGGGGGATGGAACTCTAAAAGACCTCATGGTCTGCTCTGAACTTGACAATCAGGGTTTCCTCTTCTTTCAGCCTAGAAGATCTATAAACATCTGCAATTCTTACTGTCAACCTTATGCCCGTTAAAGGAAATATCAGTGTGCCTAAAATACCGCTGCGTGCAGAAATCCATGGGGATGGCTCTTGGCTTAAGAGAAGCAGCATGTGCCTTTTGTAGAAAATAACATTTGTGTTGTATAGTTTATTTATATAAGGAAAGGGCTAGGGTAGTAAAAATGCTAATTACATAAACCATGGTGACCTTGCTCTAAAGTCATCACTTGAACGTTTGGAGTTGTTGAGCTTTTAATAAAAATTACTGTTCTTTCAGCTGACAGCACGTTTGACAGCGGCCAGGGCTCCACTGTTTATTCCGACTCCCAAAGCAGCCAGCAAAGTGTCATCTACTCGTCCCTGCCCGACCCGGTCCCTCCTGCCATCCAGCGGGTGTACAGCCCTCCTCTGAGTGAGACCCAGGCTGTGTCCCACAGCCTGCCCCAGCTCGGGCACTACCAGCAGCCCTCAGGAGTAAGTCTAAAGCTTTTTCAAATCATTTTGTATCCTGAGTCATATTTAGAGTCTTGTTTTCAGAGGGTACAGAGGGCTCTCTTTGTGTATTCCTCACTCGCCTCTATCAGTGGTGTCCTGCTCAGGAATACACTTGTTGATACGAAATGGGTGCTGGGCCTGGCTCGCTGTGTTTGCCATCCTGCTGTACTGGCAGGTGTCATACTTTCAGTAAAAGCATTCCTTCTCAATCTGTTGGCTCTGAACTGCATTAGGGGCTTTGCAACAAAGCACAGGAAGGACATGGACCTGTTGGAGTGAGTGCAGAGGAGGCCGTAAAGATGCTCCAAGGGCATATAGAGACAGGCTGAGAGATCTGGGACTGTTTAGCCTGGAGAAGAGAAGCCTAAAAGGGCTTCAAGAAAGCTAGAGATGGACTTTGGACAAGGACCTGGAGTGCCAGGACAAGGGGGAATGACTTGCCACTACCAGAGGGCAGGGTCAGATTGGACATTGGGAAGAACTTCTTCCCTGGGAGGGTGGTGAGGCACTGGCACCAGTTGCCCAGAGCTGTGGCTGCCCCATCCCTGGAAGTGTTCCAGGCCAGGCTGGATGGGTCTTGGAGCAACCTGGTCTCGTGGAAGATGCCCCTGCCCATGGCACGGGGTTGTAACAAGATGAGGTTTAATGTCCCTTCCAACCCAAACCATTCTGTGATTTCATGAGTCTATGATTAGTTTTAATCTCCTGCACATTTTCCTTCTGTATTGCTCATTGTCAGTGTAGCCTCATGTTATTGCTTCTTTGGTCAAGAGCCCCTTGGGTCTGGTGTTCCTTCCAGCTGTGTCAAAGGTGACACATCCAGTCCCTGCCTTTGGGCCTCTTGATGTGGGTTTGACCTTGCATGGAGTTGGCAATGAGTCCCTTACTAGGGATCTGAAACCAGATGCTGGTAGTCCATTCACATGTTCCCATTATGACCTTGGCCAAAAGCACATCATGGAACTGATGGTGCAAGGACAAACACATGAAAGTGAACAGAGATCTCCATGTTCTTCCAGTGAGAGGCACGAGGTAAGCATGTTACATCCCTCAGGAGCTGTGGCAGGACTGTGTCCCAACTCCAGCCTGTGCCCATGACATGTGGCAGGCAGCCCTCATGCTGCTTTTCATCATGGCAGTGACCCTGTTGTGGTTGTGCATCCCAACACCACATCCCATCCCCAAGAACTGGGAAAGGAAGATGTGTATAGCGGAGGAGAGAAGAGGCATGTCACCTCCAGTGGCACTGGGCACCTGCAGACCCTGCGGAGCCCATATGTCCTCACCAGTCTCCTCAGATGTGCCCAGCCCATTCATTTTGGTCTGGCCAAGATCAGAATGTGTTGGAAGTCTAAATGCCTGCTGGAAGTTCTCAGTTCCCAGTTAGCTGACTCCCAGGAAACTCTGTGTTCCAGCCTGCTCCTCAGAGCAGCCAGCCCTGTGGCAGGCCTTCAGACCTGCTCTGTTACAGGACTCTACAATACAGAGTTGGCCTAAAGACCAGTTCTTCCCCCATGAGACCTGCAAGGGTTGCAGAAAACATTCTACCTTCTGAATCCTCTAATGATGGGGAAGCACGGAGAACTGGCATGGGCTGCAGAGGGAGGTGGTGCAATCTCCTTCCCTGGAGATATTCAAAACCTGAGTGATGTGCTCTGGAGGACCCTGCGTGAGCAGGAAAGTTGGGCTGGATGATCTCAGCGGTCCCTGCCAACTTGAACTATCCTATGACTCCTCTGTGAGAAGCCTCCATGCCTGGCCAGTCCCATCCCAGCTGGCAGAGCATGGCTGGCGAGAGCACTCTGAGTACTGCAGCACCCCAAGCAGGAAAAATAACAGTAATGATATGGCAGTTAATATTTTTGTTTGTTTCATCCTCTTTGTCTTAAGAAAAAACAAAATCCAGGGCCAGTGGTTTTTTTCTGCTTGATCCAGATTTACCCTACACACTTGGGAAATGTATCATATTCCCTGGTTTTACCTTATGTCTTCCAAAACACCAGCAAGAAATTCCAAATTGTATTTTGGAAATGCATCAACTCTGTTCACCTAAAGGAAAAAAAATTCACCCATGGTATCTGCAGCCAGGTCCTTCCACTGTGGAAGGCACCTTTCCTATGGTACACATCTGGGATGGTTGCCATGCATCTTTCCTTGTTTCTTCTTCACCTGAAGCATCAACTTCACACCTCTAAATGTGACCCTCTAAAAGACACACCTTGAGCAGGGTTTGGTATTAATTGAGCTGTGCAGCACACTCCCTTAGTACATTCTGTCACCCTTTCCCTTCCATTAAATGTAACCTTAATGCATTACTTGTTGATTGAGGGTTTGGAAAGGCAACAATCTTTATTCACAAGCAAAGTATTTCTCCTAACTTTTTATGTTCTGATGGGGTTTCCTTTTTTTTCTCTTTCACTGATAACTTAGGTAAAGAGTTCCAAGGTTAGAAAATCACAATAATCACAGGAAACAGAAGTCTGACTCAAAACCTTTCATTTTTCAATTAAAAAAAAAATCACTGTATTTATCTGTCAGATTGTTTACCGAAATGACAAGCACATAACTGGAGCTGTAGTAGGGTTTTTTAGGCCAATGAGCCTCAGTCTGACATACTGTTTATTTTTATCTGTTTTGTTTGAGCTGAAGTTGTAGGGACCTTGCTGCTGTCACAAACCTGGTCTGAATTGCTTTCATTTTATTAAGTAGCTTTCCATTCCTTGCAGGTAACTTTTCTCCTGTCTGTTTTGAACTAAGTACCCAGCAAATGATTTACTTGCAGCTGTATTCCTGAGGAGCAGCTGTGGAGGCTGTATTGTGTGGGTTGCCCTCCCTAATGCTGTGCTCTCTCTCCCACAGCCCGGGCTCCCCGCGGTGCCAGCAGCACCCACCGTGGTGCCCCCACGGCCGCAGCACTACCAGGAGCCAGCAATGCCCTTCCCCGTGGTCCAGCCCACCACCGTCGCCTCCCTGCAGCTGGGGCAGCCACCACCGGGAGCAGCTGTGGAGGCTGTATTGTGTGGGTTGCCCTCCCTAATGCTGTGCTCTCTCTCCCACAGCCCGGGCTCCCCGCGGTGCCAGCAGCACCCACCGTGGTGCCCCCACGGCCGCAGCACTACCAGGAGCCAGCAATGCCCTTCCCCGTGGTCCAGCCCACCACCGTCGCCTCCCTGCAGCTGGGGCAGCCACCACCGCCTGGCCGGACTTTGGTTAGAGCTTGGCTGCTGCCAAAAAGCCCTTGTCTTGTCCCATCCCTTACCTGTGCTCTGCTCCAGCTTGTACCAGCTTCAGCTCATACAGGTGTTCCAGACAAGCTGTGGCTGCTCCATCCCTGGAAGTGTTCAAGGTCAGGTTGGATGGGGCTCTGAGCACCCTGGTCTAGTGGAAGGTGTCCTTGCCCATGGCAGGGGGGGGGAACTAGATGAGCTTTAAGGTTCCTTCCAACCCAAACTATCCTGTGATTCTGTGATGCCTGTAGCAAGTTTGAGGTGTTTGAAACTGTTAAACTGTGGCCTGGGAGATTTGGGGATGGGGCAATTAGTGTTGGGTTTAAAGGATGGAAGAGTAACAGGCTTGAGGACAGTTGTGGAACACACCTTAGAATGTCCTGATTGAGTTTAAGTCCTATCTTCTGTTGGGGCTTCACAGCCTCAGCCTGAAGCCTTGCATTGATGTCAGTGTACTGTCTTGATCTGTAAAAATCAAGTAATTAATAATTTTCTGTTATTATTCAGCACCTCCTTTCTAAGAGGTTAGGAAGTGATTCCTTAGCCTGGTGCCAGTTGTCACCAAATCCTCAGTGGTGCTGCTTGATGAGTTGTGCGAATACAGTGTTAATAGAGTTCGGTGCAGGCACCCAGTCAAGAGCTCCATCTCCAACAGCAGAGCCTGTCCCTCTCAGAGTTGTCTCCAAACAGTAACTCTTGTGCCTTTTGAAATAGCAAATCCCCCCAAGACTCTGCATTCCTTAAAGGTATTTCCAAAGCAGCTCTCCCCAGCAGCAGAGGGGGATGCTCTCATGAGGGATACAGCCACAGCCTGGTATGACCTGGTAATTCATCCCTCATTTTGGTGATTCTACCAAAAACTTTGCTTCCTTCAGTAGAAACTGTTCCCAGGGGCTGGGGAGTATCTGTACTTTGTGACTGGTATGAGTCATACCTCTCCAAACCTTTTCACTTACCAACATTTATCTCACAGGTTGCCTTTTAGAGGTTTTTTTTAACATGCCCTATTCTTCTGAAAGCATCAATAATGGAGAAATGTCATTTGGTCTCCTTGAAAAACATACACTTATGTGAAGTTTTGTCACATAACAGTTTTTTTTCTAATGGGTAGAGTTGTTCCCATGCTTCTCTCAGCCAAAAATTTTACACTTAGGCAGGTTTAGGGCCCCCACCATGTGCACAGGTCTTGCCTGTGGCATCTGGAGCTTTATCCTGACAGTTCCAAATCTGTTGTTTATTTTCCCCCATGAGCAAAGTCTGGTTTGGAATAGGATATTTGCCCAACTTAATTTCTTTCACATGGCCTTTCCTCACAAGATTGCTGTCTCTTTGAATAGTTCTATTCCTGACAGCAAAAGGATTTAATAACTGGTCTGTCTTTGCTTCCTAATTTTCCAGGAAGCCCAATAAAAGACTGGCTTTTTGCAGTGTTATTATTACAGAAATAGGTAAAATGATTAAGATTCGGTGCAGAACTTCCTAAAGCACCTGTGTGTCTCAGTGGCAGCAGTAGGTCCAGTGTTCCCAGAGTCCCCAGGTGTGATCCTGTGAGCACTGGAGATGTACACTGTGTAAATGAAGGGTAGGGCAGGGCAGTGGATGAAGGGGAAATCAGGATGAGAAATTCATCTGTCTAAAGAACAAATGCATTGATCTTGTATCGGTACATACTGATGATTCAGACATGTAGGATCAATGTTGCATCTCCTAATTTTCATTTTTTTTCCAATTTGGGTGTCTCTGCATTTATACTGTTACAGTTATAATGATGCAACGCTACCTAATCGACCTGGATGTTTTCCCCTCCCCGTGCCTCAACCAATTCACAAGCATTTTGTAAGATACAAGCTGAATTTGAAATGGAGGCTTCAGGAAGCTGCTCCCATTCCCTGAATGTAGTTTTCATGCTGCTAGCACGGTGTCTCCTAAAGTGGGAGGTAACTGAGCCACCTGTGCCAGTGGACTCTGTCCTTGGTGACCGATGGGCAGCTGCCTGAGCTGCAGATTAACCCAGCCAGTGTTTGAGAGCTGTGCTGACTGTGGGAGCTGGCAGGTTTATTAGCTCCGGCCCAGCGCCGTGGGCATGCAGCACTTCCACTCTGGAGCTCGGGTTGGGTCTGGCAGGAGTTCCCTGTGGGATCTCCCCAGTCCCTCAGGCACTCCCCAGGTGCCTCCACCTTGATTGGTTTGTTCTGTCCCATCATCAGTGCCACACCAACTCCCGTGCTGCCGTTCCCTTGGGTTTGGGATGTAACTGGGTAGATGCTGCCTCTTTCCCAAAACCTGGGATGGCAGAAGCTGCAGCACAGAGCCACATTTCTGATTTTTGATGTAACTGACAGAGGAATGCTCAGGCCACCACAGTGTGGAGCCAGGTGGGGGTCAGGCTCAAGACAAAATGACCTCAGGCTGCACCAGGGGAGGTTCAGGTTGGACATTGGGAAAATCTCTTCACAGAAAAGGGTGGTCAGCAACTGGCACAGGCCGCTCAAGGAGTCACCATCCCTCGAAGTGTTCAAAAAACATGTGGATGTGGCACTTGGGGACATGGTTCACTGGTGGGCCTGACAGTTCTAGGTTAGTGGCTGGACTCGATGATCTCAGAGGTCTTTTCCAACCTTAATGAGTCTGTGATTCCATGCTCCAAGAGACAGGTCTGTCCTGATGATGAGCTGGACAGAAATGGGCAGTGTGTCCAGCCACTTGGTTCTTCTGCAATGTACAAGCAATAACCTTTCTTCCTTGTTGTCTCCCGCAGCAGCAGCCCATCTCCCAGCCAGCCCCTCTGCAGCAGGTCCTTGCCAGCCAGCCCGTGTGCCCACTCCAGCCTGCACCCCACCTGCTCCCGCAGTACCAGTCGCAGGGCTCGCAGGTGGCAGCCAGCAGTACCCCCCTGAAACCCCTGCAGATCTCCACCGTGCCGCAGCTCCCACCCGTGGCCCCTTCCCAGGTAACACCCTGGAAAATGGTGCGTGAACACATCTGTTTGAGGAAAGCTTTCCAGCTAATAATTAACATGATTTGCAGTTTTTGTGTGGCTATTCTGGCTGCTTGTCGGCTTAATTGGGTCATAAGAATAGAGCATTTTCCTAATTCCTGTATATTTCTTTATTATTTGTTTGGGGAAACAGAAGTCTCCTTTGTGCCTAACCCTGTGGCATTCAGTTAATGGCCATCCCAGACTGGCAGTAACTGCTTTTTATCATTGGTTTGGTTTGGGTTTTTGCACTGTCACCTCTGGCACACTCTCTTCCCCATCCCAGGCATGGGAGCATGAGAAGTTGCCCATATTTTTTTCCATTTTCTGAGCTCCTGACTGCACCACTTCCCCCACACATGCCACCCCCTTCCCTGGCTCTCAGCCCTGATTCTGTTCTCCAGAGCAGGGATGGGCTCTTCCCTCAGCCTGGGAGGGTGTTTGGTGCCATCACTGTGTTTGCTGGTGACAGCCACTGTGATGCGAAGCAGCTCGTGCCAAAGGACAGGAACAAGCTGCTGGCAAGATGCCACGGTCTGCTCCATCACTGGGAGGTTTTGATTGTAAAAACCCTTTTTCGGGGGGCTCTTCCATGCTGCCTGGGTCACAGATTGTTTAAAAACAGAGGTTTAAATTGTCTACTGAATTTTGCATGAAAGAGTTTTGGATTTTTTCTGGTCCCAATTCCTTTTAATTTCTGTTAAAATGAAAGCAGCTTTTAATTAGGATGTTGCTTGAAGGCTTCAAGCTGGTGTTAGAAGTAGTTTTAAGCTTCTAAGGTATAAAAACATCACCCCCAAATGAACCTTTTTTTGCTTTTGCTAATGATTTAAGCATAAATCAGTTTTTATTACTGTTTGTAAACCTTGGGAAATGAATGGAAGTGATTAACAAGCAGACATAATTATCCTCATGGCACAGGTGGTTCGTGTGGCAAATGAAACTGCTTTGTCCCATCAGTGAAAGCACTGGCAATTTATGTGATATTATATTTTTTTCAGATTCCTCAGTTTCCTGTCATTCCTGCAATTACTCCTCTGGCAGGACTTGACAGCCTTCCTCCAAACCTCTCT